CGCCGAGCCCCCGAGCGGAGCCAGAGCCAGCCGCGCCGAGCGGGCGCCCCTCGGCCGTGAGTCCGGGCCCGGAGGGGAGGGCTTGGGGCCCAGCCGCGGGAGGGAGGGGAGAGTCGCAGCCTCCTCCCAGCTGCCTCCGTGGCGGAGATTAGGGAAGGACGGTGGTCTCTGTCCCCTGTCCCTCGGGGGTAGCTTCCCTCTTCCGCAAGGCCTGCACCGGATGCCGCCTCCCCCCGTTTTACAGGGTAACCCCCCGCCCCCGGGCAAATTGCCGATTAGCTTACGGGGGTGGGGGAACCTGATCCTGGGGTGTCTGGATTCCCGTTTTCCCATCTTTGAGAACCCGTAATCCTTAGCGCCACCCGCAGCCCATCCCAAGCTTCCTTCATGGCCCCGCCCAAGTTTAGGGAAAAAAAATTGGAGCGAAGGAAGATCTCCAGGCACCTTCCCAGCAGCCTTGCTTAGAGGGATGGGGGTACGCAGGTTACAAAGTGACTGTCCTAGGCCATCTCCTCCAGGACTTCTGCCCACTACTGCATGTAGGGAGGGTCCCTGTCACCTATAGAAATCCTACTAGTTCCCGCTCCACTTATAGTATCCCTCACTCTTAATGACCCTCGATTTTTCTTTTTTTCTTTTTTTTTTTTTTTTAAGATGACCGGTAAGGGGATCTTAACTCTTGGCTTAGTGGTGTCAGCACCACACTCTCCCAAGTGAGCTAACTGGCCATCCCTAAATAGGGATCCGAACCCGTGGCCTTGGTGTTATCAGCACCACACTCTCCCAAGTGAGCCACAGGCCGGCCCCTAAACCCTCGATTTTTCTAATCCTAGTAATGTGTGGTCAGTAGAAACCTCATATCAATTCAAACCCTAAATCTGGTAGAAGCTGGTTATCAGGGAAGAAAGCGTGGTGTGGTGTGCCCTCACTCCAGGGCCTCAGGATGAAGCAAGCTAGGGATAGAGACACAAGATAGTAGACATGTCCCAGGAGCACTGGGAGGGAAGGGGGCAAGCTCAGAAGAGACGCTTGTCAATGGAGGAGGGGGGCTCCCAAGGGCACAGGAGGGAACTGAACTCAGCTCTTCCAGCCCTGGGTGGTCAGCAGTTGGCTGGGTCTTTCTGAGCATGGAAATCCTGTTGTAGTCTCGTCTCCCCTTCACTCACTCAGCGAGTGTGTGCTGACGCCTGCTAGTGCTAGGCTCTATGCTGGATCTGGGGAATATGAAGGAGGGTATATAGAGAAGTTCCAAGTCTAGTCAGGGAGCCAGGCTATAAACTGCTATTACAAGATCGTTAAAATAAATACACGCGCGCACACACACACACAAAATTCCAGTTGAATAGACATTTACTAATCATCAACTATGTATGCCAGTGATAGGAAACAAACATAGATCAGGCAGTGTGTACCCAAGGCAGTGAGGACCAAGAGGAAGGCATAATTAACTGTGTGTGTTTGTGTCTATTGGGGCAGTGGGAGAATATCAAGAAAGCGTCAGAGAGGTGGGGATATTGAGAGCTGAGTTTAGAAGAACAAAGAGGAATTTGCTGGGTGGAGAAGGGAAGAGTTTAGAGGGGAGGAGAGAGAAGGATATCACAGGCCAAAGGAATAGTGTGAGAAGAACAGTGGTGTGTTTTGACATCTGTGAGCAGTTTGGTATGATGGGAGGAGTAGAGTGGCAGGAGGCGAGTATGGGGTGAGCAGGGCCAGATCTAGCAGAGCCTCGTAGGCCATGCAGAGATTTAGCAGGAGTTTAAGGACAGCATTGGAGCAGTGACAAATCAAATTTACATTTTTAAGTGGAGGCAAAGAGATCAGTGACAAGGTTGTGGCAATGGTCCAGGTAAGAGCCTGAAGAATTGTCAGAATTCGGTGACCAATGAGATGGGAGAAGGAAGGAGAGTGATGAGTCCAGGATGCTTCTAGGCTTCTGGCTGGAGCCATTCTGCTGAGGACACTGAAGAAGGAGAGCTGGTTTGGACATGTAGAATTTGCTGAGCCTGTGGTTGGTTGCAGGGTCAGACAGCAGTTGAATCTGGGCTGGAGACAGATGGTAGTCACCAGTATATGATGGTTCTTGAAGCTATAGCAGAGAATGAGGTCTTCTGGGGAGAAGTGCATAGAATGAGAAGACAGCCTCCCTCAGAAGGCTGAGGGAGAAAAAAACCCTGTGCAGGAGGTGGAGAAAGAGCAGTCAGAGAGGGAGGAAGACAACACAAAGGGAGGTGTTTCCAGAGTCAAGGGAAAGGGACTGACTCAGAGCAGCCAGGCTCTTGCTCGCTGCCTCATCCCCGCAGGTAGGTTGCCACAACTTCAGGCACCCCACCCTGTGCTGTTGTGACTCATTCTTCTGCTTCCCTTTACAGACCAGATGTTCGCCATCCAGCCAGGGCTAGCTGAGGGGGACCAGTTGCTGGGGGGCCCGCCTCCTGGAGTATGTCAGCCCGAGCTCCAACCAGACAGCAACTCCAACTTCATGGCAAGTGCCAAGGATGCCAATGAGAATTGGCATGGGATGCCAGGCAAAGTGGAACCTATCCTGATGAGGAGCTCCTCAGAGTCACCCTCTGACAACCAGGGCTTCCAGGCCCTTGGACTCCCCGAGGGGGGGTTCCGCAGCCCCCCAGAGGGGGCAGAGATTCCCGAGGCTGAGCTGGAGAAAATGGGTGGTACTGGCACAGTCTGCTCCCCTCTGGAGGACAACGGCTATGCCAGCAGCTCCCTGAGCATCGACAGCCCTAGCAGCAGTCCTGAGCCTGCCTGTGGGACCCCTCGAGGCCCTGGCCCTCCCGATCCCCTTCTGCCCTCAGTGGCCCAGGCTGTGCAGCAGCTGCAAGCGCAGGAGCGCTACAAAGAGCGGGAGAAGGAGAAGCACCACGTGCACTTGGTGATGTATCGTCGCCTGGCACTGCTTCAGTGGATCCGGGGCCTGCAGCACCAGTTGATTGACCAGCAGGCCCGCCTGCAGGAGAGCTTTGACACTATCCTAGACAACCGAAAGGAGCTTATCCGCTGTCTCCAGCAGAGGGCAGCACCATCCAGGCCCCAGGACCAGGGTTAAGGATGTGCCTCCACAAGTGTGCAAAGATATGTGTGTATATTTGCAGGTGTGTGTGTGGTTGTGTACAAGTAAGTACATGATTATTTGCTGGCATGAGTGAAGGTAAACATAAGTGAGTATGTATGTTCTAACATGTAGGCAGGTGTGTGCAGGCATGTGTCAATGAGCTTAAATGTGCTGTGTGTGCACATAGCTTATATGCAAACCTGTGTGTGGGTGTGTAAGAGTGAACATACATATGTGTGTAGCATGTATGTAAGAGTAAATTTGTATATACATGTGTGAACAGATATCTAGCCTTGTGTATATGTGTGCATATAAATGAGTTTGAGTGTGTAGGCTTGTGTTGGGTGTATATAAATGAGCCCTGTGTGTGCAGGCCTATGTGTAGGGGTGCATGTGTGCAGGTGTAGGCATGGGAAGTGTGTGTTAGAAGCATGTGTATCTGCAGGCAGACTTCATGACCAGGTGTGTGCAAATATATATTCAGTTGCACTTGTGGGACATCCACCCACACCCTGTGTTACCCATGGCCTAACCCAGCCTTTTTTCTCCACTGGGTCCCACTACTCCCTAGAAAGAGTGCGCTAGCCTGCTGCCATTTATCTGAGGGTTCTCGCTGATCCATTTTCCTGGGGTTTCCCAGGCCACCTCTCCTCCCTTGCCCTCATTTAACCCAGACCTTGCTCTGCTAAGGCTGTTGTCCCCCTTGCTGGCTTCGCTCTAAGAGGTTTAGTGGCTGCTCTGGCCTGCCATGGCATTTGGCTGCAATTTTGTCAGGGCTGATAGTGGAGAGTTGGTATAGTGGAGAGAGGGGATCCGGGGGTGGTGCTAGAGATCATGGCACTGGGGGGGTGGGATCAGAAGGAGTTAGAGGACTGTCCTTCTTGAACTCTGCCCTTGGGCCTGTGGGAGAGGGGGTGTGGGAGATGACAATGGCAGAACCCTGTGAAGAAGAGGAGAATGGGAATTCTAAAATACCAGTTCCAAACAAACCAAACCTTTCTATGGGGATGGACCTGTAGAAAACCATACTGATTTAAGCTTCTGATGAAAAGTAATGGATGCTTATAAGCTTGCAAGTAATGGAAAAGGTGTCGCAAGGCTGTTGGGAAAAACCTCACTTCTCTGTGCCTCTACGCTGCAGTGCCTCACTGGCTTGAGCAGCATTGGATGTCAAATTGATTTGGTCCATTTCTCTTCAATCAGACTGTCAGGAGGAGCCAGAGCTTGGGGTGGGCAGGGGGCAGTTTCAGCCCAGCCTCTGGAAGCTCTTAGGATGTTGGATCTTACCCCCTTCTGTCACTGTGTGGCCCTTTAAACAGGATTAACAGGCTTGGGTACAGGCTCCATGAGTTGGAAAGTGGGTGAGTCTTGGGGAGAACTGCCAACTAAAGTGGCCCAGCTCTTAGCTTTGCTCCTGGGAGCCAGGAGAATGCAGGATGCTGGTGGGTGAGCAGTGGTATGAAGAGGGAACTCTGGCAGGCAAACAGTGGCATGGAATGGCCCTCAGTCTCCCTATGTGCAAAATATGGGGGCTCTTCCCATCTGTCTATAAAGATTTCCATCTCGGGTGGGTGGGTGGGTGAAAGGCATAGGGAGTGGGGATGAAGCATGGGTCTTGGGGGACTTTGTGTCTATAGCTCTTGCATGTTGAGTGTGAACCTGGCCTCTGCACCAACCCAGGATGAATATACTAGCGCAGAGAATTAAATTTCTTGAATATGTGTTTCTATTCTACCTGTTGTCTGATGGCCTCTTTTCCATACCATCTGAGCTCCCCTTTTGAGCAGGGTCCTGGGACAGTAGCTGGGGGAAGACACTGGAGATGGGAATTCAGATTCCTATGCCTGGCAATCTGATGGGGGTGGAGAAGTCTTTCAGACCTCGCAGTCTGACAGGCAAGACTTGGCCTCTGCTCTGAGAGCCCCTTATGGGATTGTCCTTATCCTAAGTCACCTTTGGACCTGAATGGATTGTGAGGGACACATACTATACACACACACAGTCTCTCTCACAGACTCAATCATGCTCTGGAGTCACCACTTCCTTGAAGGGTGCCGTGACTGTGAAGGACTGAGTTAGGGTCATTAGATGGTTCTGACACAGATGTAGTTAGAATACATGTACATGACTTCAGATATTTGTTGACGCTTATTTACATTATATCTTCTTTTTTTTTTTTTTTCCTTTTTGTCTTTTTTCATGACCGGCAACGGATTGCAACCCTCAGTGTTGCGCCCGTACCGGCCCGGGACCGGCAACGGGATCGCAACCCTCGGTGTTGCTCCCTGCACCTCGCTCAGCCAGTGAGTGGGAACTGGTCTGTATGTGGGATCCGAACCCTCGGCGGGAGCGCCGCCGCACTTCCCAAGTGGCGCGCTGTAGCAGTGCGCCACCGGGCCAGCCCTACATTATATCTTCTATTTTACATTAGTTTGTAAGATGGTTTATTAATTTCTCAAAAATACTTGACCTTTTTTTCCTGTGCTGGCAGGGCCTTCAGATTCCAAGTCTGAGATCTCCCAGGTCTGGGGCTGCTGCTGGCCCTGGCCCCACTTCGAGCCCCTCGCCTGTGCCCTCAGCCCATGCCCCTGGCCCTCTTAGGCCCAACCCTTACCATAACTAGCCTGGCCTCTCCTCCCCCAAATTAATTATTTTTATAAAGAAGGTATATTAGTTATCTACTGCTGCATAACAAATTACCCTTAAATTTAATGGTTTAAAACAATACACATTATCTCACCCTTTCTTTAGGTCAGGAATCTGAGCACAGCTTAGCTGGATCCTCTGCATCACAGTCTCTCAGTCAAGGTGTCAGTCTAGGGACTACAGCTTCTGTTGATAGCATTCAGTTCCTCTCAGGCTGTTGGCTGGAAGCCATGTCTGTTCCTTGCCATGTGGGCCCTTCCAGCATGTCAGCTTGCTTCAACAAAGTATGCAAACCAAGAGAGAGAGAGAGGCTGGCCAGTTAGCTCACATGGGAGAATTTGGTGCTGGTAACACGAAGGTCAAGGGTTTAGATCCCTGTGCTGGCCAGCTGCCAAAAAAAAAAAAAAAAAAGTGATAGAGTACTAGCAAGACAGAAGTCACAGTTTTCTGCGTTCTAATCACAGAAGTGACATCCCTGATGCTGCCATATTCTATGGTTAGAGGCAGGTTACTCAAGGGGAGGATATTGCTCAAGTTTATAAGTACTAGGAGGCAAGGATCATGAAGGGCCATCTTAGAGGTGCCTACCAGGGAAGGTATATTTTGATTGGTTAAATAAGGGCATATATTATTGATTAATTCTTAATTCTTATACAGATAATAATTCTACATATAAAAACTGATTAAACATTTCAGCAAAATCTAATGTCCCCTTTTGTCCCCTCCAACAGATATTTATTTTAAGCCTCACAAAGTATACTTCTTACTGAAACAGTAAGTGACTAAGGACATTAAGTCTTGTCATCACTACACTTGACACTTAAACAATATTGAGCCAGGGCCAACCCCGTGGTGCACTCAGGAGAGTGCGGCGCTGGGAGCACAGCAGCGCTCCCGCCGCGGGTTCGGATCCTGTATAAGGATGGCTGGTTTGCTCACTGGCTGAGCGCAGTGCGGACGCCACCAAGCCAAGGGTTGCGATCCCCTTACCAGTCACAAAAAAGACAAAAAAACAAAACAAAACAAAACAAAAACCAATATTGAGCCAATTTTAACAGTTCCACTTATTAAGAAATGTTCTGGCAAGGGGCTGTTGCTAAGTTTTAATAACTTTATCCATGCAGATTTCTTTTATTTTTCCTTTTTGTCTTTTTTACTGACCGGTAACGGGATTGCAACCCTCAGCATCGCGCCCGCACCGTGCTCAGCCAGTGAGCGGGAACCGGTCTCCACATGGGATCCGACCCCTCGGCGGGAGCGCCGCCGCACTCCCAAGCGGCGCACTCTCCAGCGCGCCACCGGGCCGGCCCCATGCAGATTTCTAATAATGAGACCTCAAGCCCTCAGAGCATAAGAGGGTGAATTTGAAGAAGGAGCTGCTTTTTAACTTTATTTATTTATTTATTTTTTAAATAAAGATGACCGGTAAGGGGATCTTAACCTTTGGCTTGGTGTCGTCAGCACCATGCTAAGCCAGTGAGCTAACCGGCCATCCCTATATAGGGATCCGAACCTGTGGCCTTGGTGTTATCAGCACCGCACTCTCCCAAGTGAGCCACAGGCCGGCCCGGAGCTGCTTTTTTAAATGTGCAGGCTCTTCTGAGTACAGCCATTGGTGAAGGGCATAGACTATGAAGCCAGACCCCCTGGATTTGAGTCTTGGCTCCATTGTTTTCTGTTTCTGTGAACTTGGGCATACCAATTAACTTCTCTGTGCCTCAGTTTAAAACAGGAACAACAGTAATAACTACCTTGAAGGGCTGTTGCAAAGATTAAATGAGTACATAACATGTAAAGTACTTACAACTGTACCTAACACAGAGTAAACTACATTAAGGAGAGTTATGATTACTATTATAAATAGTGCTTTTGTGATGCACATTTAACTTTCTCATAGAAAAACAATCAAATTTTCCCTTAAGGAGTTTGAATCTAAAATTTGAAAGATACCTTTATTTAAAAAGGCTTTAAAAAAACAAAGCTGCCTAATATTCCTTTCCATCAAAGAGCTCTCTAAGCTGAGAAAAAGATGAAGGTGAGACCAAGGAAACTGGTGAACTGAATGTTTACAGAACCCCCTCCTAATCACTGAGCATCTAAGGATGGGCCCAGCCCCTGGGGTGGTAGTGGGTTTAGGAAAGAGCAGATAGAGCTACGGTCAGGATGGCAGAGTTTGGGGCAGGGAAACTGAGGCAGGACCCCAGTGGCTGAGCCATCCCAGACAAGAATTGCAGTTCCCCATCAGGTGCTCTGGCCACCAGGCCTGATCGCGGGAAGTGCTGAGGCTACCACTGTACCTCCTGTGTGTGGGGGCAGACCTGGTCTCTAGACTGTCTAGACTTAGTGTCCTCGCTTATAATAATTGTAAGGATTGAATGAGAAAAGAGACCTGAAAGTGCTTTGTATGCATTGAGATTGAGCACCTCTGCATGAGACCCTGGGGAGCTTGCCCCATCCTTGAGCAGCTCTGGTCTGAACAGGTAGATGAGACTTGCATCCAAAAGCCTAATGTACGAGCCACGGTGAGCATAGGAGAGGGGAAGTCAGGACTGGCTCTTTGTGCAGATCTCAGCCTGAGATTTCTATACCTGGGAGGCTGTTGTAAAATCATTGGGGTGGGGATTTCTTAGTCCTTGGGACATTGAGGGAAGTAGGGAAGGTTCATGCACTTGGGATGGTTTTGGACAGTCAGCCACCTCTTACCCCTCCCCCCCTTGCCACAATGAAATCCCATGACCAGGAACAAGGAAGCCTAACCCAGGTTTTGGGTGCTACATGAAGAGAAATGAGGATTGAGGGGTGAGATTGGGACTGAGACCCAGAAACCAACAGGGACAGGGCACACAGCAGAGGTCCGAGCAGGCCGGAGGCACAGGACCGAAGCATGAAAAAGACTGGCAGGGAAGTAGTGTGAGGCTGGGTCTGCTGGGGAGAGAAAGAGCGGCTGCATCCATTGAGAACTTTCTCTCCAGGGACCCCAACTCGGGACCCATCAACGAAGACCAGAGGGGATGGGGTTAAAGCCTGACGAGCAGGGAGGCAGGAGATGAACTGGGAACTGAGGAAGAGTGTAAAGAAAAGAATAAAAGGGCTTCAGAATATGGTAGGTGGTCTCTGCAGCTCGGGTTCTGGCATTTTAGGGCTCTGTATAGTTGGTATTGCTAAGGAGATAGCCCAGTGGAAGCTTGTGACCTGTCTACCTGCCTCTGTTTCCTTCAAGCTTCACCAAGAACCCAGTGTTAGTACCTCCTACGGGGTTCTGGCATTTTAGGGCTCTGTATAGTTGGTATTGCTAAGGAGATAGCCCAGTGGAAGCCTGTGACCTGTCTACCTGCCTCTGTTTCCTTCAAGCTTCACCAAGAACCCAGTGTTAGTACCTCCTACTCAAGCATGAACAGTCGGGAGGAATAGGAGAGGGGTTAGATCTGTGAGGGCCTGGTCAAGGAAGGCTTCCTGGAGTAAGAGGAGGCTAGAGAACCAATACACATTGAGGCAACAGAGAATAGTGATTTCTAGTGCAGACTGGACCCAGGTGTCTTGGATCCTCCTCTTATTAACTGTGCCTCACTTTTCTCAACTATAAAATGGGGACAATAGTAGTCCTTCTCTCATAGGGTCATGTGAGAGTTAAATACATGAGTTAACATGTAAGGGCTTAGTTAGACCTGGGTCTGGCACACAGAAAGCAGTCCATAAACGTTGGCTGTTATCTCACTAGGAGAGGACAGGAACGCCATCAGAGGTAGGAGATAGGGCTGAGCGGTTGCGCTGTAAAACAACAACATTAAGAAGCATTGCTAAAGGGACTTGAATCTCAGACCCACGAGTTTAATGGATGCAGGTGGTGAGAAGAGGAGTATGAGATGGGATGTTCTGGGATATGAGCCAGACCTTTAATCCACACTGGTATTCACACTCACACCCACTAGGCACCTGCAGACAGGCACGGGGCCCCACACCCGTGCATGCACATACACGTGCACAGTCGCTAACACAAGTGCACACTCATGGACACAGACCCACATGCACGCTCCGTCCCCCTCTCCCCACCCCTCTCAGAAATAAGACTGTACCCATCTTGGGGAAGT